TTCTCGATGTTGAGATAATTGCGCTTTGTGGAAAATTACTTTAAAATCATTTCGAATCTTTCATATGATTTCGTCTTACTGTTTATCACTCGCTCGTTTTAATCAGCTAGTCTTAACTGCCTTTCACTTATTCACTTCAAATTCAATGCATTTTGAATGCCGAAAAGACCACTTTGTTTGTGTATTAAAGAAACAGTTTATTTATCTCTCTAATGTTATTATTTAACAAGTTGCTATTTCTTTCATTAACATTAAACAGCATGTATGTAATTATCACGATAATTGTACGTAGAGGTCACATTTTTAATTGTAAGGAAAATCGAAAATAAAATTAAGTACTTTTGAGTTTGTATTATTTTCTTCCTAACTTACAATATTATTGCATACAAAATACTAGGTCGGACGCAAGTAAGCTAAATATTTCACTTGTATTTGAAAATTCTATCGAGCGTCGAAAGAATTTTACCCGTTAAAAAGTGTACCAAAAAACCCTTCCTATGCAGTTTTCTTTGGGAAGCAATTGGCTTAGATAGTTTGTTCCGAGATGTGTTGACAAAATTCACGCAATGAGAAGCCATACATTTCGAACTTGTGACCTCTTGGTCAGTGCATGTGAAGATTACGCATGGCAATTAGTGTCTGGAAAATAAATGATTTGACAGGTTAAGATTTGTTCTCATTCTAAATTAAATACAAACACAAACCCGTTATTTTCTTTGTTATTTTATACCGTCCCTTATATCAGATAGATTGTTTTAAAAACGTGTTGTTTAGGAAGATTAATCTTATGCATTTGTTTTATCTCATCTAATAAACTGAATTTACCCATGACACGAATTACTGGTACATGCATGTAAGTACGCGTAAATGTTTATGTGGAAGAGCGCCCAAAATAAATACACTTCGAACTCTGGAATTTCCCTATTTTACTGTTTAAATCATAGGTCCGCTCAGCTGACGAGTTGTTTTAATAACGGTAATAAATTATATTCAAGTCCTGGCCAGCAATCGTTACGGTTGGTGACACTGCAATTAAACAGGTCGATACTCAGGTACTAAGATACTAACGGGTATATATATTTTCACCTAATATGTTTTCATTAAGTGTTTTCATAAGAAGTAAATTGCTGGATGATATCATGTTCTCCCTGATCACATCGATAGCGTGTAGAAACAGCGGTACATGAACACACGCTTTTGTGTACAAAGCAAACGTGTAAACCAAAAGGATGGGAAAAAACGACGAAATAAAAACATTTCTCTATTAACTGAAATTATTGTCTTTAGACAGATAAAAATAAATGATTATCCGCCTGAGAACATGTGAAAATTATACCCAAATACAATGTAACGAAGGATTTGGGGTTTAATCCCGAGTACACAATTATAGCAATGATGTGTACATATACATGCAGAATACTGCTTTTTATCCTTCGTCCATGTGTTCCTCCTTAACGGAAAAAATTATCAGTAAATTATATTATACCGAGCGAGGTTGAAAAATGACGAACTTTATTTCTTAAAATTAACAGCAATTATCAGACTTTTCTCATATCACTGTAAAAATGCCCTAAAAAACTAAAACCGTCTTTTTGACTTTGTCAACGCATGTCAACGCATTTGATAGATAATGAAAAAAAAAAAAAAAAAAAAAAAAAAAACGCTGGCAGATTTAGAGGATGTTCAGGGGGCCTGCCCTCTTTTGTATCCAAAATATACACAAGATTTAATAAATCAATTTTTTATGTGGGTTTGGGCCCCTACCCCGACACAAAACTGGTCGGGCCCCCTTTTCAAGACTCCTGTATCCGCCACTGAAAAAGAATGTGTTGTTCTCCTGGATGTCGATATCTGAATTATGTTTTAATTAAACACCTTGTCTAATATATCATGGGCGCCCATAATAGGACGATTATTCGTTTTTTAAAATAAAGTGGTTCTTACAGATGTTAAAAAAAAAATAAAAACGGCTAATTAATTATTTTATTCATCTACAACAAATGTTAGTTTAGTTCTTTGCTTACATAATCCAACTTTTATAAATTAACACGAAAGTCGTGCGATCGTATACAAATACTCAGAAGCAATCTTTCATATTTAATGAACGTATAGGTGAATAAATTTCCTCTCATCACTATACGTATACCCCCATCCTCGAAATAAATAGAAAGTTTTCCTTTCGCAGTCGGTTGGTTTTACCAGGTACATGTCAGTACAAGTGAGGATGGAGCTTTACAGAAGCAGGTGATGAATTCCGAGAGAGATAGGCACTGCCTATTTTATATACATGTACATTCCTAGGGACCTTGTTTTCTGAACCGATGTCACTGTTATTCAAAGACCTAGCTAGAAATTCTCTCTCTCTCTCTTTCAAATGCAGGCCCGTCGATTGTAAAAAAAAATGACAAAATAATTTCAATTTTTAATAAGTATCTCACCTTCCAAGCCAAAGACCCAAGGAAGCTTTTCTGTTCATAATTCTTCATCTTTGTTTGCTTTCTTGGTGTATATGAGCGTTATCGTCGTTGTTGTTCTAAAGCTACTTGTAAATTTTTCTCATTTTTATCAAGAACCACAGGACCATAACAACGAAAATTAACACAGAATATTTTTGGTAAAGTTTTATTCAAATGAAGGGTCCCATCCTCTTTTAACGGATACATGTAGTAAAAGTTAGATGGGGTCCAGGCGTGGATCAAGGAATTTTTTTCCACGCGGGGGGGGGGGGTCCCCCCCAAAAAAAATTTCAACCCAGAAATTTCTTGACGAGCCAAAAAAAGAAACTCTTTTCCCAAACGTGAAAAACCAATTTCGTGTGTGTGTTTGTGTGTGTGTATGGGGGGGGGGGGGGGGTCGCTGACTTTTAAAGCTTCATACCCAAGACTTTTCATACCATTTTAACACAGATCCGCGTTTTCGAGGAAGGGTCCGCGTTTTCTAGGGGGGGGACATGGTCACTTTTACTTGGCTTAGTATATACATTTAACTGCCCCCAAACCCTCTAGATCCGCGCATGGGGTCATTTGAAAATAGTATTCTCAAGAACCCCTGGACTAGAATGAGAAAATTTCCAACATAGCATACATTCATTTTTTTTTTCAAATATTGATTCCAGGGAGAAGGTTTGGGCCGGAAAGAGTGTTCATAATTTAACATAGGAATTTATATATCCCCCCAAACGAAGTGTGTGGGTTTGGGGTGGAGGTGTTTTGAGTCTTCTGGAATCACTGTCCGTCTGCCTAGCTGTCCGTCTGTACGTGATAGTTTGCCAAGGATATTATAACTTTGTTATGAAGAAACTGGAAGGTCAACTTGGTACAAAGATTACTAATGATCCGAGGGTGTGTCAAGGTTTTGATCCAATGTCATTCCGGCAAGATCAAGGTCACTGGAAAAAAATAGCAAGTATCATACTTGATACAGGAATTGCTTATGACAAAATTAAATGGTTTGACACGACCTTCATCCAAGGTCATTCCTGTAAGTTCAAGGTCACTGACAGAAAAGTGTAAGATTACTGTATGTGCTATAATTTTGGAAGCTCATACTTGGAACAAAGATTGCTTATGATCCACCGGTTTGAGATAACATAGTACTAGACTGGCAGAAGAAATGGCAAAATTCGTGCCTGGATTATAAATTTATAAGGGGTGGGAGGAACGCAGGAAACTTTTTCTCAGATTGCTTGAGATGGGTTTGTCCTGACCTTGAACAAAGGTTTTTTCGGCAAGTTCAAGGTCACTGGCAGATAAATATTATTTTTTCACCCATGTTATAACTTTGTTATATAAAATCACTGGAAGCTTTTACTTGATAGAGAGATTGCTTATGATCCAAGAATGTGTTTTGACCTTGATCCAAGGTCTTTCTGGCAAGTTCAAGGTCACTGACAGAAAAGTGCAATATTCTTTTTCAGGTATATCTTTGTCATTGAGTATCACTGGAAGCTCATAATTTGTTCAAAGGTTGTTTTTGACCTTAACATAGGTCATTTAGGCAAGATCAAGGTCACTGATATAATAAGTGTAAAATTCAGAAAGGTTTAGTCGCGCACGTGGCGCAGTGGTAAGAGTGTCTGCTCTAGAGTCGTGGATTAAGGAGTTGATCCTTACGTCGCAGGTTCGAATCCCAATGTGGGATGCAGAGACCGATCCTTTGGATGAGACCGTACAAACTGAGGTCCCGTCTGGCAGTAGGTGCTGACACGAAAAAGATCCCTCACTGCTCAATGGCCATGAGTGCCGAGTATAGGTCAAATTTGGAGACCTCCATCGGCAAATGGTGGCGTCTCCATATGATTGAAAAATTCTCGAAGCTGACGTTAAACAACATACAAACAAACAAACAAAAAGGTCCATAATTTTGTAATAGAAAAAATTGCATGCATTTGCATTTCACTGAAAAGTTGATAAATATATCATCCAGAGTGTGTAATGGCCTTGACTTAAATTCGAGGTCACTTAGAATATGATGTTTTGGATGAATAGTCTGAAAGAATACGTGACTGTGATTTTTTTTATGTCGGTGACATACAGATGGTGTTTGCTCTTAACCAGCTGCAGAATGTGTCATGGCTTGACGCAAGGTTATTTGGACAAGTTCAAGTTCACTGACGGGGGAATTTTACATTCCTTAACTGTCTTTCTACTGTTGAAACATTGAAAGTTGATGCCCCTTACAGGATTGTTTATAACCTTAAAATGTTGCATGACCTTGACTCAAGGTCACTATGTCCTGTCCGGAGCTCAGACGGAAGACCTATTCGTTGCATTGCAACGAGCTCGGCTCTAGTTCTTATATATAGTTACGTACTTCCCGTATTTGAGCCCGAATTTAATCAAATAAATTGTAAAAGTATAAAAATGTTAAAAAATTGCAAGTGTAAATGCAACACAATATTACCTCGGTAGTTTAAGAAATTTTCATCATGCCTGAAAATCATATCGTTTGATTAAGGAAAAAAGTCTCATTTCTGTTAAAATGACGTTTTTTTTCTTTACCTGGTGTCTTGGGCGTCCCACAATGGAGGGAAACACAGTTTTAGGGGCATCGTCCCCGGCGAATCCAGCTTTGCACATTCCAGATCCATTGTCAATAACTAAAGCAGCAACGTCTTCGTCGTCCATTTTGCATTTACTTAACTGTTCATAGCTTATATAGCAAGGTTAGGTGTTCTTGGAAAACTGCAGTCTGATAAAGTTAAGTACAAAATATTGCCTTATATGGCAAACGCATCATTGTTAGTATCTAGAAATTATTTAACCATTCACAAAAGAAATACTTTAGTGCAGTACGAAGTACCCGTCTCAAATGCAGTTCGGAAAGAATGTATTACATGTAACTTACCTGTTTAAAAGATATTAATCTCACTTAATGCATTGGCTTGAAAGACTCAAAAGAGCAACGGCAAACTTAAAAAAACCACTGTTCTATAACATCCTTAAACTAAGTCAAAATTAGGATATTTCTGTTTTTTTGTTAGAAAAGTGTAATAAATATGAACAAATTTTTACAAAATTTTATATGGAGAGTATATAAGTGCATCGGAATGATTCGACAAATGATTCGTACAAAGGAAGAAGAATATGAAAATTTAATTTACAACTGCACTTGGGGCATTATGAAAAGAAAAAGGCAAACTATGGACCAGCTTAAAAGAATTTATGAAATTTATTTTCTAGTGCGAGTTTAAGATTCCTGACATTAAAACAGGGTAGAAACGCACTTATTCATGCAAGATCTCTATGCTTTATACTTGTTTTTCTTCTATATTATCCCATCATATCTAAAATATGTTTCAATTAATAAAAAAAAACCATGTATATCTTTTCAACATTCATTTATCATTAAAAGACAATGACCATTCAAGAGCTATTCTCTGTAATCACTTAAACTTTTTTGGACACGCATGGTTACAAATTTTTTGAACTTTGCCTTTTATTACAACTTGACACAAGAAACATATATCAAATAAAATTTGGTTGCTATAAGTGTTAGTTGCCATGGTAACATCCGACACACTTTGAAAAATTGAGCCTTAAACTTGGTAGAACGATATTTTATTTAAAGCGTGTATTAATGATGCTGCCCGGAAAAATAATTTTTATTGAGCCTTCATAAAGACTACGAAAGTCAAACAAAGTACACTCACAAAAGCATTATACCTTGTTGTCACTAATGCTACAAAGAATTTTTTTTACAATATATTATAAGTGGTAACCAGGGGAAAACATGGAGCATATTTTATTCAAAATGCTGAAAACGTTTAATCCACTGATGATAGGTGTCGCATGATCAAACTCAATCAACAATACAAGGAAAATAATAATAATATTTGACCTTATGTAAAAAGGTATTGGCAAGGTATTGTTACTCTAAATTAGAACTCTCATCGTTACCATGGTACCACTGTGTAGCCATACACATTGTTGCAAAGCTTTGGTTAATGCTGCTTTCTCGCAGAAAAAAAAACATGAAAATTCAAGACTTGCAAACACACATCGTTTTGACCTTGTAACAAGAAAAAATTGGGATTAATTGAATAAATATTTCCTACATGTACATTGTAGTGTAACCATGGAAACAACAATACCAGTGGTTAGAGTAATAATGCTTTGCTGCTTAAGGCACTAAGTTACCTTTTAATCAAGAAATATATTATTTGACTCACCTTTAGTTCTACAAAACTAAAACTATTACACAAACGGCCCACCGCATTACTTTTGGAAACTGTCAGTGGCACTTGTCTGCATTACAGCGAACATTAACCATGGGACTCTGTACATGTTCATAAATGCCATTTATAGACTTTAGGGCATGTTTGCTTAGTAACCATGACGAGTTTTCCACCTATTTTTGCTTCATCTGAGTCTACTGTATCAAAAACTTGCATAGAGAGTTTGGAGAAATTCTGAGACTATGTATGCCACAGCTCCAATATATAAGTTACATTACAGAGAATGGTTCTTAACCTGTGCGCGGCCAGGATAAGGCTACCCATGGATAATCGCAGTGTACTCTCTGTAGTATCTTCTCTGAACTTCCAAGATATGACGTCATGATAACATATAACATATAACATCACCAATTTGCAAAGTTGAGATAACATGTTAAGGAAAACCTCATATCTTTTACATTCCTTTCACATTGTTCATTTGTTATTAATGTTAGATTTAGGGGGTCGTAACATAAAGGGTACTTAAGTCTAAGACCATGCTTAAGTAGGACTTAAGTACAGTCTTAAACTTAAGACCGTAACTAGAAACGTGCTAAGATTTGACAATCTTAGCAAAACTTAGGCGGCCGGTAGAGGTGACTTAAGTATGTCTTAACTTTCTTAAACATATATTTAGAACTATTTAAGGTTGACTTTCTATGTTAAAACATTCCTCTATTTATATTATGCATTAAAAAATAATTTTCTATATTTAATATACTGGTATAAGAATTTTAGTTTTTCGTCGGGGGAGGGGGGAGGGGAGGTGGTATTCATCACAGATTACAATATCACTCTCTAAATGACATATACATGTAAATGCAAAATATTATTTTTGGGATACGTTTGAAATATTAGTGGGACCTAGATTATAAACACTAATCTTTATGAGTATATTGTATAATTTTAGTTATAAAAGTAATTTGTATACAGTAATCATGGATTTGGTTGTTCACTGTGAAAAAATGAGATGAAATGATTTTAAAAATTGTCGGTGAATTAAAGGATGATGACTAGAAAACAAATACAGATTTTCTGTAAATTAGATTGAATGTAGAACGCAACAAGCGAGGATTCAGACAGGGTTCACTACCGTTCACTAACGTTCCAGAGAGAGAGAGAGAGAGATTGTTGATAAGTTGGAGATATACGAAAAATTATTTTCTGAAAACAATTCTTTAATTTCCATCCTTCATTAAATTGTAAATAGGTATTTCATAAAACGTCTGCAGTTTCTGCTTACTGATATGGGAGGGAAAAAGATCAAAATGTCCCTATTGTTTTGCACTTTTTTTTTTATTAGAGTTTCAATTTCAAGTACATAGACGTTCGGTTATCGTGCCATGTCTGCGAGAATGACAATTTGAAAGCAAGTGAACATTTGTCAAACGAAAGAATAACAACAAACGGTAAACTGAAAACATCGCAGTCTCGAGTGATAAACAATATTCACGCATTTACAATGAACCAGTAGTGCCACTTTGTGACCGTGCAATGTTTGTTTTCAAATACATTGTATTTCGAATAATTTAAACAGAATTAACTTTAATTAAATACGAAATTAATCTAACCTAGCTAAATCCGATAGGTAAGGACGTCAGCATTAATATATATGTGATTAAAAACGTAACTAAATCATTTTTACAAATATATATATAAATGAATTGAGAAACTAGGATGATTCATAACAAATATTTTGAACATAAGTTTGACTTAGCTAAGACCTACCTAAGTCCGTTTTATGTTACGGTTTAAGACATACTTAAGTAGTACTTAGGCAGGTCTTAAGATTGCACCTAAAACATACTTATGACCCTACTTAAGTCAAAAACTTAGCAAGCTTTATGTTACGACCCCCAGGTGTCTGGATTATTGTCTTGAGAATAATGCGCTGTTTGAATGCTGAACCTTTGCAATTTGAAATGCAGTGGTTTCACTTTCCAGATACGTTAGGACAAGATTAATTGATTTGTAAAATTAAATACACAATAATTGTGTTTATCACTTGATCCGTTGCAATTTTGGTGCACCATTTAGGAAAACATTAAGAGTCCGTCATGTGATATAAGCCATGTGACGATACGTTATTAGGTACCTTCATGATTTATGTAGCAATATATATATACCCTTATACATGTATCCTTTTACCTAAATATCGTATTTATGTTTCCAATTTCTAAACAGATTTAAGCCAAATGACAAATAAGATGAAGTTACCAGGGTATCAGAAAAAAGGCAACATTTTGCAAATTTCTACGGTCTTTATAATGACTGGTTTGCAAAATTTTAGTTAGATAATTATTTTTACAATGACTTGTTAATTGATAAATCGATTAACCAGGTGAAGACATGGGCTCAGTGTGGATGTGAGTAAGTATCTAGCGCTGCTTACTACTTTATTGCACCTGATTGCATCTCTGAAGCTTTCAGAAGTCTGTATTTGCTCTGAAATCAACTTATAATGCTTTAATTTTTTACTATTCCGTGTGCTATTCTTCAAAATGATTTTCTTTATAATCAATATCTAAATAGATTGATTTGTATGTAAAAGAGCAGTGTATTGTAATATTAAAATTCTTGACACTTATTTGCTAGTAAAATCTAGCGTAAACATTCATTTCGAAACAGTCTTACTACATAAATGTTATTCATTGTACATTTTCTTTACATTTTCTTTTTAAATGTACACACGGGACTTCAAATTTATGTGTAGAATATTGGTATGGATTAGATAATTTTATGACATTTTCTTAGTATCAAACCGTATGCAATACTGGTTTTAAGTTTAATTCGAAATGAAACAGTGCAAAAATTGCTAGGAGAGTAATTATTGGTCATTAAGATCTAGGCAACGAAAAAATGAACAGAACCAAAACAATGAACACTTTTTTATTATGCTGTAATAGCTGATAACTCTACTAGACAATTCTAGTTAATTCTAATCTGAACTCAGGGTGCCCAGCATTATGTACATGCCCTCAATCAATTTTGTCTTAACTAACAAAGCCTAAACCATAGAATAAGATAGATTTTCAACAATTGTCTTTACATTTGTGTATATTTTTTTGTCAAGTTGTTGTTTGTTGAATGAAAAATATTTTTTTAATAAGAGTAAATTTTTTACCCATATTTTTCTCCTAAATCTATTTCAGACTATTCTTTATCGAGAATGCTATTCAGATTTCTTTTTTCAGACTTTTCAGAAAAAAAGTATTTAAAAAAATTGAATCCGTAGCAGTAATAAAAAGAAACACATCCCATTTATAACTTTGAAGGTTGAGGTCCCACAAATTCCTGCAAGAGCCAGGGATTAATATGTACACAGAGATGTGTGTGAAATTCGCTGCTTAAGTATTAATTAAAGGGTCTTTTCTCCGTATTATTTTCGTGTTTTCTACAGTGGTAAGCACGCACAGCATATAA